AGGTTGAATAAGTATGGTGAAAGAATACAACCCTGTCGCACACCTTTCTTAATTTTAAACCATTCAGTGTTCCTATGTTCTGTTTGAACAACTGCTTCTTGGTCCAGGTACAGATTCCTCATGAGAACAATTAAGTGTTCCGTAATACTCATATTTCGTAATGCTGCAGAGGTCACTAGAAGTAAATGCTGTATCTTGTACCTATACAAGGGGTCTTCCATGGAAAAATGGAATGGAAAGATAGTGGAATTTTTTTAACCAAATTTTTGAGGCCCTCCCATATTTCACATAGTTCTTGGCATGATCGAAACATATGCCAATGGGTCAAAAAGTATTGCTACTAGGGGTCCAGTTCATACATATACTGGTTTCTTCTAAACAAAATGTGTTTAAATACGTCTATGTGATTCTGGTGTGGCACTGCGAGTTAATGCGCTGGACTGCAAAGTTAGTTTGAACTGCAAGGTTAGCAGTTCAAGCTCACTAGTCGCTTCTTGGAAACTCTATACGGGGTGCTATGGGTAGGCACCAACTCGACGGCACTTAACATCAACAACAACAACAAATGTGATCAGTGGGTGGCTGCAGACAAGTTCTCTCAATAATACACTGTGTTAGTCTCATTAGGGTGCTTTCTAAAACAGGTCAAATCAATCAGTAGCTTCCAAGGGAATCTGCTGGGCCAGTTAAATTTGAGAGACATCAACTTAGAGATTACAGAGATTGCTTTTTGGAATTCCCAAGGGGTCACATTGACAGACTTCCTTGAAGCACACAGGATGATTGCAGGGGCTTATTATGAAGGTGTGTCCAGAAAACTGAAAACTGCATTCGTGAGGTAAAGGCCAGGAAAGTTGTGCGAGAGACGTTTGTCCATCATGACAATGCAGGCGTTCACTCTTCAGAGGTCACAAGGGTTAGCCTATGAGAATTGTTTTTGGGAAACAGTTGGTGTTGTCAGGTGCCATAGAGTCAGAACCGACTCATAGCGACCCCATGCACAGCAGAACGAAACAATGTCCGATCCTGGGCCAACCTCACTACCGCTGCTACACTTGATGCCATCCATGATGCCACCTGGCTGATCCATCTCGTTAGGGGTCTTCCTCTTTTTATCTGACCCTCCACCTTACCCAGCATGACATCCTTCTCCAGCAACTGTTCCCTCCGGACAATATGTCCAAAGTATGAGAGACGAAGCTTAGCCATCTTGGCCTCCAAGGAGCACTCTGGCTGCACTTCTTCCAAAACAGATCTATTGGTTCTTTTGGCAGTCCATGGCACTTTCAGTATTCTCCTCCAACACCACAACTTAAAGGCATCAATTCTTCTATGATCTTCCTTATTCACTGTCCAGCTTTCACATCCATATGAGGCTATTGAAAATACCATGGCTTGGGTCAGGCTCACCTTAGTCCTCAAGCTGACATCTCTGCTCTTCAATACTTTAAAAAGTTCCTGTGCAGCTGATTTGAAACAGTAGTGTAGTGAATTATTTAATGTCTCTTCTAGCCACAGTCTGTAACTCCTGCCAAATGCTTTTGCCCTGCTGGGTCTAGGTAAGAAAAGACACTGATAGGCTGCCATGATTCAGCTGTGGATGTTAGCAGAGTTGATTGTAATTGTAAAACTTTGAAACTCTAGCTTGGGTATGAAATGAACCATCTCAGAAGCAGGAAGGGGGATCTTATTACCACTGAAGTAAAAGAGCCAGTAGGGATGCATGTCCTTGGGACCTCAAGATTCCTGTGCAATGAATCTCCTCGACTCAGGGACTGAAAACTGTGACATCAAAGGAATGGCAAAGGAGCAGCAGCAGAGCCAAGAACCAAGCACCAGAGCACAAGTAAAACTACGTGACTTTGGTCAGGACACTTCCTTGTAGAGGAGGGTGCCTCCAGGCAGTTAAGTGGTGAGCTGGACATGTTGACCCAGGGAACCAGAGTTGAGTGGCTTCAGGATGAGGCTTATGGTGAACTTGTGTGCCTATGGGCATTTGTTTATCAGCATCAGGCTGGAACAGTTGTACCCTTAGCATTTTCTAATCCTGCACTGTAATCTATTAACTTCCCTAACAAACCCCAGAAGTGTGAGGTTTGTCTCTGAGTTCTGTGTGGCCGCTGCAATGCATTATCAACCTCTGAGGAGTAAAGCAGGTGTGGGAGGAATGGTTGGTACAATATGTTGTTGCAGACACCTTATCCCCCATCCATCCTTCATCTTGACCGTTCACACTTCTTTTTGTTCCCCATGTTTTGTTTTTTCACAAAAACATGATCTGAGTCCCTCAAAGATGTCAAAGCTGCTGTTTTGATGGAAAAATTGGAGAGCACATACATTCTTCAGGGAAGGGTGAGAGATGGACACAGTGCCTTCGAAAGTGTAAAGATCTTGACAGAGGGAATGCTGAAAAACAGCAGCTTCACATTTTGATAATTTAGTTTAATAAGGGTTTCTAGAAGTCCCTTTGACTACTTCTCGCATTGCTGGTTGCAGCGTCTCCCTATGCCAATGTTTTAAGTGCTTGTCCTGCATTAAATGTCTTTAGGGTGTAAACTGAGATTAGCATCTTCTTAAATTCTTAAATCTGGCATTGAATTCCAAACAATGGGTAGTATTTCATGTCCAACATTTGCCCGTAATCAAATTCCTTGCCAATCTGTTTGAATATAACCCGTGTAGTCCCCATACTATCTCAGTGAAACGTCACTACGTTCTTGCTGTATTTGAAACCTGCCATTTTACTGAGAAGCCAGCTGTCTTCCATAGGCTGCTCTTTATCACATGCCCAACCATGAACCACGAGGCCAGGAGTTAACACTGGCCTTTTCTTTGTTTCCCTGCTGCTCATTTGAGGCTATTATCCTTTCACAGTACTCCTTCTTGGGTCTTGACACCTGTCTAAATACCCTGGACTTCTCTTTGCAGCTGTTACCTTTACACTTGTGGTCATTGTAGCACAATGCTTCTCAATGCTGGCTGCAAGTGAAAACAATCTGGGAAGCTTTTGAAATCTACCCACGCCCAGGTCCCATTCCAAAGCAATTAAACTAATTGTAGGGGTGGGCACAGGGACCAGTGTTTCTTCCTTTAATTCCTGTTGTTGTTAAGTGCTGATTCACAGTGACCCTATCCTGTATAGGGTTTCCGAGGCTGCACATCTTTGTGGGAGCAGAAAGCCTCATCTTTCTCCTGCAAAGTGGCTGGTTGGCTCAAACCACTGACCTTGTGGTTCACAGTCCAGTGCTGTGAAGCCAAGGCTGAGAACTTCTGAACGAATACAAGAGAGAATGCCAGTTGTTGTTTCAGTTTCTCTGCCTTCCAACTTCTGCCATCAGTGTGCGATTTCAATGCCCCATAGCACAGCCTGTCCACCCCTGTAGGCTCTGCTAGCTGCTCACCCATACAACATGCCCCTGCCAGTGACTGTGAGAATGATGCGGGACCCGGCAACACTGTTCTGTTGTACACAGGGTTCCCATGAGTTTGCGTCAAATCAGTGGATGTACACAACAATTGCTCTTCAACTCTTATGCACAACTCTCTCAATTTATTAAAATATGGAGCCATATAACATCTGAAATATTAAATAAGTCACAATTTCTGGCCTCAAACTCCATAATTCCAGCTTACTAAATCCTTTACTGTATGATATCATGCCTCCACCAGGAAGCCGACTGAAAGCTCGCTGAGAACTGTGCTTTGCATGTCTGCCAGTCCTTTCCTGATTCCCGTACTTTCAATGTGGCCGAGACTTAGTGGGAATCACACCATCCTCTGGTCTGAGCTCCAGCATTATCCCTGGGAGCTCTTCCCCAGGGCAGATTTAGAAGGTTTCTTCTTGTGTGTTCTCAGTGCACCCTGCTCATATTTTCATTACACTTCCTACCATACTCTTCTGGAATTTCCTGCTTGCAAGTGCCCTGCTAACTTAAGGGCACGGACCTCGCATGCTCACCCTGATAGTGTGGGATGAACAGAGTGCTCACATGGAAGCGAGCTCAGTAAACACATGCTGAATGACTGAATGGCATATCGACTCTCAAACTTGGTCATGATATGGGATTTGTAAAAAGATGTCCATTTATGGAAGTAAGGAGGAAGCTAGGTTCCTTTGAATCTTCATCAAGAGCATGTCTCAGAAACAACAACAACAACAAAAATAAGTAAATAAGCAATATATATGATGGTCCTAGCAGTGCAGCAGATTACGAGCTGGGCTGCTAACTGCAAGGTCGGAAGTTCGAATCTACCTGTCGTGCATGCAAGAAAGATGGGGCTTTCTGCTCCCATAAAGATCCACACAGCCTTATATAGGGTCACTATGAGTCGGAATGGACTCAACAGCACACAACCACCACCATATATGATGGCATAGTACTTATTAAATTCTTCTACCAAAATACTACTGATCAATTAAAAACACATGACATTTCTTTGGTAATTCATCTGTATTTAACTTGTTATGCCCCATCGAGTAGGTTCTAACTCATAGTGACCCTGCATACAGTTACCAAGAGTGGCTGGCAGGTTTGCATCACCAATCCTGCAGTTAGCAGCCTAGTGTTTACCCAACAGTATGAAACATGGGCTTAAAAGCACTGAAAATCACTAGCAAGTAGAAGAAATGCCTCAGGAAGACAGAATATTTTGCCTTGTAGAATCTGGTGACTTGAGGCATAATTTGTAGCCCCATGTGGGTTGATGAGGCATCAGTGTCACAGTTAGAGAAACGAGAGTAGAATGGAGGTCATATCACATTTAAAGTCACAAGGTACACCTAGGGTTCTTTATCTCATCACTGAGGCTGAGACTTGGCAATGAACTTTCACCTCTGAGTCTCCTCCTTTCTTTTCTGGTAAATAGCTAGAACTACATTTGCCTTAAATACTCTTCATCACGTTGGTGCTTAGAACAAACAACATGTAACAGAAACAATGAAGAACTGTAAGCCTGAAAAATACAGTCATATTTTATCCAGGGGAAGGGAAAATCATAGTTCATATGTAATTCTTATTCATGAAAACATTTACCTTTAGAGAAGCTGAAGAAGGTTTTTCTATTTTTGTTTTCTCCTTGGGGCTTAAAGGAGGAGATCGTTCTTTTATCTCTGGAGGCAGTTCCTGATATAGTGCTGAAATTGAAACATGAATTCATATAATTAAATGGAGGTGCACTGTTCCATGGAGAAAAGAAACCGACAATTATGCATTGGGGGGGGTTATAAAACTGATAAGGAATTAATTCTGTGGTACAATAATCGACCTTAGAACTTATTGCTATTAATTTCTAGGTGGTGGTGGTGGTGGTTATGTGCTGTGGAGACGGTTCTGACTCACAGCAGCCCCGCACAGGGTTTCTGAGGCTATAAATCTTTACAGGAGCAAAAAGCCTCATCTTTCTCCCGTGGAACAGCTGGTAGTTTCGAACTGCTGACCCTGAGGTTAGCACCCCGATTTGTAACCATCATGCTACCAGAGTTCCTTTAGATTACTGTTATATCAAGGTTATATTATCATAGACTATAACCCATGACTGGAAAGTTTTGTTCAGCGGACTACCCTTTGTTAGGGTTTCAGAAATGTAGGAGGGATCACTTTCCCTTATTACAGGCTCATACAGAGGCTTATTTTATTTTATTTACCTGCTATGTGAAAAGTCATCTGTTAGGTGCTGCTGGGGGAGATAGAAACATGGTCAAGAGACAGTTTTGGCTCATAAAGAGTTTACAATCTAGCCAGGACACCCATGTTTGCAAGAAACTAAATACAATGGGATGCGATATTATTTGAAAGAGTGATAATAATACCAAAGGCAAATTTTCATATGGGGATGCTAAATCCTTAGTAGAAGAAGTTGTATATGTGTCAAGGTGTTAAAAACAGGTAGGATTTTGACAGGTCAATGTGTGGAGAAAGCGTGATTGGGGAAGATGGTGAAAAATGGATAGGCACGGAGTTATGACTGCAGAGGGCATTTTCTTCGGGTTCTGAGAAATTCAGTGTTGAATCTGAAGGAAGATGTTGGGACTTTTAAAGGACCAAAGAGAAAATATATTTTGGCTAAATTATTTGAGAAACTGAATTGAGAGAAATGGTGAAAATACATTTGATCAAAATTCTAAAACTAGGATTTGGAAATCCATTAATTAGCTTTATCGGGCAGTGTTTCGTTCTGCTGTGCATAGGGTTGCTATGAATCGGTACTGACTCGATGGTACCTAACAACAACTGCAGCAGATGTATGTGTTGATTTCATTATTGTGCTTCCTCATGTCTTATTGAAGAGGGTGTCAGATGTGATTTAAAGGAAGCTGACTCTGTTTCTTCTTTACAGGAGTTAAAGACAGAAAGGGGTAAGTCCTTGATACTAATGAGGCACCAGTTCATTCAATTGTGTGGCTCTATTAGCAGACATTACTTTAAGCTGAATAGTTGGTGGAAATGCTGATCATGTATATATATTCCTTTAGATCATTTGCTTAGCATATCTGACTGCACATCAAGATAAAAGACCATTTCTCCTACAATTTTTAGAATGGCATATGCTGGTGACAGTCATTTTTCTCTGATGTTAAAACTGGGCAAGTGAGTTTTTGTTAAAGGGGAAAAAGTAGGACAAAAGGGAAAGGAAACTACCCTCAATGAAGTGTGAGAATTTAGGCTTTATATTCTTGGGTTTTCTATTTGTTAAGCCTCATACAAGGCTTTCAGCAAGCACTGACTAATGCCAAAAGAAAACATCAGCTCTTCTGGGATCCAGGGAAGGGCGGTGGTAGTCAAAGGTGGGTTACTTCCTGAGACATGCAGTTAATTTCTGCGTGCAGCCACTAAGCATTATTGTAGTGTTTCAGACATGTGACTTGGGTGATTATGGAGGAATAGAAAATTTGACTGGATTTTAATCTACTGCAGATCAACTATCTAGAGCCTCTCAAGGTGTGCAAGGCAAAGAGGTTATTTCTGCAAACTAACTAGGTTTTAAGGGTATAGCTCTTAATATCATCCTTCCAGGGAATACACAATCTTTTTATATGGTTAAGTAGAAAACATTCAAGAAGTTTCCACTTATATCTGAAAGGCTCGATGGATCGCAATGCCTGGTTGGAGTTACAGATACACTCTGGAGCGGCTCTGGTTGGCACAGGCTCAGTTTAAAGACAGAAGCTGCCTCTGTGGAACAGCAGCTGTAGGTCCCGTGGAAGAGCCATTACTACGAGACAATCTGGGGGTTCCAAAGTTTGAAGGGCCTGGTTTATGGGCGATGACTTAGATGCTGTCTTGTACCTAGCTGGGAGTGAAAGCGTGTTAAAATTCTTCCCACACTGCCTTAATGTTCTCCATGATGCATGCTTTTAATACTCAAATAAAACTCTGGCAGAACTCAAGAGCAGTCATCCACTGCTCACAGAAAAAAAGAGTTCAAAGTGGCCAGGAGGGAATAATTCTTTTATGGGAGACAGAAGTGTGTCATTTTTAGACATTCTGCACTTTTGAGGCAACTGTGTTCAAGAAGGAGCTGCCAGGAGGCTAGGGGAAGCACAGGTAGCACCAGAAGGCAGAGTGGGAACCACAGACAAATCATCTGTTTAGGCCGAGGAGCTCTGGTAAGCACAGTGGTTATGAGTCGGCTGCTAACCTCAAGGTCAGCAGTTTGAAACTACCAGCTTCTGTGGAAGAAAGATGAGGCTTTCTTCTTTCATAAATATTTACAGCCTTGGAAACCCTATATGGGGTCGCCATGAGTCAGAAGGTACTCCACGGCACACCACCACCAGCAGCCTGGTATGGTGCTGTGGGATAATGCACTGGACCACAAGGTTTGAACTGTGAGGTTGGCAGTTCAAATTCGCCAGCTTGGAACCAACTCAATGGCACTTAGGACAACAAGAAGAAGCATAGCACCCAGGACCCTGGTGGCACTGTGCGCTAGGTGTAGGCTGGTGGCTCAAACCCACCAGTCCCTAAACAAGAAAAGCTGAGGCTGTCTGCTCCTGTAAAGTTGACAGTCTCAGAAATCCTATACAGGGTCACTAGGAGTTAGAATTGACTCCAGGGCAGTGGGGTTTTTTGTTGGAAGAAATTTTTTCTTCCTCCACTTTTGAAATTCAGCATTTAGGTTAGGAAGCATTAGTACTTTTGGTCAATTATGTTTTCATTTAAATGGGGTTTCATGGTCTCACCTGAAAATTATCTTTATTGATAACAATGACTTCTTTGCAGAAACAAGACTTAACCATGGATATTCAAATCATATTACTTTCAATGGCAAGGATCCTATAATACATTTTAAATCAGAACCATGAGTTGTTAAGTGCTGCTGGAAGAAAAGTGTAGAATGTTACAGCTCAACTACATTTCCAGTTGGGAAGTTGAGGCACAGCAGTATGACTTGTTGAGCTGGGATCAGAATTCCGTTTTCAAAACCCTGGAGTATTGCATTAGTTTTCTACCACGACCAAGTCAACTGCTGAAAGGAGGCGTTCTTCTGAAGCACTACTTTTTGTTGTTGTGTGCCGTCGAGTCAGTTCTGACTCAGTAACTCTGTGTAAGGTTTCTGAGAGTGGCGGGTGGGTTTGAACTGCCAATGTTTCAGTTACCAGGCTAGTATGTATTCTACAGTGCCACACCAGGGCTGGTAGCACTACTGCTCTTCATTTGTGGTCCATCTTCAATTCCTGTCTTCCTTCATATTCAGGCCCTCTGGGTTACATCTCTTTCGACTTCTCAAGGCCTAGGCAGTGACTCCATGGCTTTCAGAAACTCATATTTAGAAGTTCTTCTCTAACTTGCTCTTTTTCTCTTTTTTTCTTTCATAAATGAGGACTTTCTGTTGCTGCTGTTAAGTGCCATCTAGAAGGTTCTAACTCACAGCGACCCCACATAAGGTTTCCAAGGAGTGGCTGATGGGTTTCAACGACTGACCTTATGGTTCATGGTCCAGGGCTAATCCTACAGCGCCACACCAGGAGTCCCAAATGAGGGCTTGATGCTCACTTAATAGGAATGAAACAATCTACTATGGCTTTGTTTCAGCAGGTAATGGGCTGGCCCGCAAGGTCGGTTTGAACTGCAAGGTTGGCAGTTCAAGCTCACCAGGTGCTCCTAGGAAACCCCAGTCAGGGTTACTATGGGTCAGAACCGACTCAGCAGCACTTAACAAGAAGAAGAAGCTAGAACTTAAGTATACAAAGTAAGAGTGGGAGTCAGGGAACTAGAAGTTCTTGAGATGCCTGTTAACTGGAGTTTCTGTGGCCAGGCAAGGGACAGGGAAAGGGGTCTCGGGAAGGGAGCCAGTAGTTAGAGGGGCAAGTTCCCAGGAAGGTGAAGTCAGTGATGTGGATCAAGATCCCAACCTTGGAATGTCCACCTTTCTAGTGCCCCTCCTTACCCTTTTAATTTATTTTTTAACCAGGCAAATAAAGTGCTGTATCCATTGGTCAACACATGCAAAGGTTAAAAAGACAGTAAATTAAAGAGGTAAAAAAAAAAAAAGATGAAATCTTGGATGATCAGTTGCACTATATTAGTAAAGCAGGAAGGGAGCATAAAACTTACTTTCACTAGCCACGTGATTAGCTGGAAAATAACCTTCCTGTCCCTTCCCTACGCTGCCATACCACCAGTCTTCATTATCTTTGAAAAACACTCGGATAATGTCTCCGCGATGGATGGTTAGTTCATCTGATCGATTCGCTGTGTAGTCATAAAGAGCCACCACCTAAGAGAGAGATAAGACCACCACAGCTTTATCACAACTGTACCACAGAGAAAACCCCCGGCATTCACTTCCTCTTGCAGAAGAGCAGCTGAAACCAAAGCAGTACTTTGGTAAGTCTGAGGCTGTCTCAAGGTTTGCTACTGGGATCTGGGGTGGTGGGAACACAGCAGGAGAAGCAAGATAAAAGACTGTGGGATTGAGAAATGGTGAAGAGCATTCAATACACTAAGATTAGCTTCAAAATAGCAGATGTTAATTTCTTCTTCTTCTTTTTTTTTTTTTTTTAAAGTAAATTCCTTGTGAAGTGCATAAAACAGAAGCTCACACACCATTCATTCACTTTCTTAGAACTGTTTTATACTACCTTCGGATAAGGAGAAGCACCTGAAGAATACCCTCTTCAAAATGCCAGCCATCGTCATGTAGAAAAGGAAAAGCTCAAGGCAACATCTGATTGCACACTTCCCTTGGAGCACTTGGTGTACCGTTAATTTTTTTTTTTTTTTTTCTTTTTCAGATAAATTTCCCTACGAAGCACGTATGTTTTTTGGTACTTTGTATCAACAATCTCTATAACCCATTGATTGCCTTTAAAAATGCTCATATGAGCTTATTTTCACTAAGTACTAGAGGAAAAGCGTTTGCAGGACAATCTTCCTCCGTGGTTTGACACTCATCACCACATGTATTTTTTCTTTGAAAAACCCAAACAAAAATGAGATGGCCGTGGCTGCAGAACCATTTAATATAAATAAATTATAAATAGCCAGAAAGGAACGAGCAGCCATCAACCCACTGTGTATAGTGTAGGACATGGTAAAGTGTGTATTTAAGAATAAACTTCTGTGTTTTGTTTTGTTTTTCTCCTGCCTTTCTAAAATAGCATTAAAAATTTCTAGGTTACATAACAACATATCATATGTCATAAAAGATCACCATTATTGTCGTTCGCATTTAAATTGTTTGATTACTGGTTATTCATTTCACATATAGGTGTGTTGCTACAGGATAATGCACTGCACTGCAAGATCAGTTTGAACTGCAAGGTCGGTGGTTCAAACCCACCAGCAGCTCTTCAGTAACCCTAGAAAGGGTTGCTATGAGTTGGAACTGATTCAAGTGCACTTAAGAACAACCACAATTGAAATCCTAAGGAGCCTATACTATGCTAGGAGCTAAATTCACAATGGTAGATGGGTACTTTTCTAGGAGGAGGACCTAACTTAGGCCTAAAAAAAGGAAAAGCTCAATGGAAGACCCTGATGAGACAATGAAGAGAAGCAGAGAAGAGTAGCTCAGCCAGACTGTACAACCTGTGTGAGAATATACGGGTGGAGAACCCCCACTAGTTCAGTATTGTTGGAATCTGGGATTAGAGATGAGAGCCGAGTTAGAAGATGAAACTAAAGCAGTAGGTAGGGTCAGATGATGCATCTGCGGTTGAAGGACTTCAGCCTCAAAACTATGGGCAATAGGGAGAGGTAGCAAGGACTTCCATCATGGTTCACAACTCTTTCTGGTACTTTTCAATTAACTTAACAATACTTATTACCTCATATGGTGGTGGTTGGTGGTTATGTGCCTGGAGACGGTTCCGACTCATAGTGACCCTGCACAGGGTTTCCGAGGCTGTAAATCTTTATGGGAGGAGAAAGCCTAATCTTTCTCCCACGGAACAGCTGGTATCGAACTGCTGACCTTGTGGTTCACAGCCTGATTCGTAACCACTACGCTACCAGAGCTCCTTATTACCTCATATAGAGTAATGCTTATGAGTCAGGTTGCTAACCTCAAGGTCAAGAGTTTGAAACTACCAGCAGTTCCACGGAAGAAAGATGAGACTTTTTGCTCCGGTAAAAATGTATGGCCTCGGACACCCTATACAGAGTTGTTGAGTCGGAATCACTCCATGACACATTACCACCACCACAACTATGTACCAGAAGTCATAGTGTGGCACTGTAGGTTAATGCACTAGACTGCAAGGTCGATTTGAACCGCAAGGTCGGTGCTTCAAGCTCACCAGCCACTCCTAGGAAATCCTATACAGCGTCACTATGAGTCGGAACTGACTTGATGGCATTTAACAGCTATGAGTATAGTTTTACTAAAGGTAATACAGAAATGGCTGTAAGCATACATTGACAGAGAACTTCCAGAGGTTCAGGCTGGATTCAGATGAGGCCATGGGACAAGGGATATCATTGCTGATGTCTGATGGATCTTGTCTGAAAGCAGAGACGACTATCAGAATGTTTTCCTGTGCTTTATTGACTATGCATTGATCATGACAAGCTATGGACAACATTGTGAAGTATGAGTATTCCGGAACACTTAATTGTGCTCATGAGGAATCTGTACCTGGACCAAGAGGCAGTTGTTTGAACAGAACATGGGAACACTGAATGGTTTAAAATTAAGAAAGGTGTGTGACAAGGTTGTATTCTTTCACCATACTTATTCAATCTGTAATCCGAGAAGCTAGGTTATATGAAGAAAAACATGGCATCAGGATTGGAGAAAGACTCATTAACAACCTGCGATATGCAGATGATACAACCTTGCTTGCTGAAAGTGAAGAGGACTTAAAACATTTACTGATGACGATCAAAGAGCACAGCCTTCGATATGGATTACATCTCAATGTAAAGAAAACAAAAATCCTCACCACTGGACCAATAAACAACATTTTTATCAATGGAGAAAAGACTGAAGTTGTCAAGGACTTCATTCTTCTTGGATGAACTATCAACACTCAAGAAATCAAACGATGTATTTCATTTGGCAAATTTGCTGCACAAGATCTTTTTAAAGTGTTGAAGAGCAAAGATGTTACCTTGAGGACTAAGGTGCACCTGACCCAAGCCATGGTATTTTCAATAACCTCATATGCATGTATAGAATTGACGCTTTTGAGTTATGGTGTTGGAGGAGAATATTAAAAGTGCCATGGGCTGCCAAAAGAACCAATAGATCCGTTTTGGAAGAAGTGCAGCCAGAGTGCTCCTTGGAGGCCAAGATGGCAAAACTTCATCTCTCATACTTTGGACATATTGTCAGGAGGGACCAGTTGCTGGAGAAGCATATCATGTTTGGTAAGGTGGAGGGTCAGAGAAAAAGAGGTGAATTGGCCAAGTGATAGCATCGATGGACTGAACCGTGGCAACAGTAGTGAGGTTGGCCCAGGATCTGGCAGTTTCGTTCTGCTGTGCATAGGGCCGCTATGTGTTGGTACTGACTCGATGGCACCTAACAACAATAACAACAATGTAACAGGCAATTTTAATTGGGTAAGTTTAGAACTAACTGCTGTCACAGTTATAAGGACAGTAGTACTGACAACAATCCAAGCAGTACATACGCAATACCTACTGTACTTTGTACAGTATCTAATTTACAACATGTTATCAAGACTATAAGGAGCTCTGGTAGCGTAGTGGTTATGAATTGGGCTGCGAACCACAAGATCAGCAGTTCGAAACTACCAGCTGCTCCAGGGAGAAAGATAAGGCTTTCTGCTCCCGTAAAGATTTACAGCCACGGAAACCCTGGTCAGGATTGCTATGGGTTGGAACCGACTTGACGGCACTTAACAACAACAATCCAGAATATGGAGTCCTGGTATGGTGCTGTGGGCTAATGTGTCAGATTGCAAAGCCGTTTGAACTACAAGGTGTTTCAAGCTCACCAGTTGCTCCCTGGAAACTCTATACAGGGTTGCTATGGGTCTGAACCGACTCAACGGCACTTAACAACAACAACATTCAGAACATGGAGTGCTGGTGTGGCGCTGTGGGTTAATGCGCCAGACTGCAAAGCTACTCTGAACTGCAAGGTTAGCAGTTCGTGCTCACCAGCTGCTCCTTGGAAACCCTATAGAGGGTTGCTATGGGTCAGAAATCACTCAACGGCACTTAACAACAACAACAATCCAGAATATGGAGTCCTGGTACAGTGCTGTGGGTTAATGCGCTGGACTGCAAAAGTTAGTCTGAACTGCAAGGATGGTGGCTCAAGCTCACCAGCTGCTCCTTGGAAACCCTACACAGGGTCATTATGAGTCAGAACAGATTTGATGACACTTAACTGCAACAATCCAGAATGTTGCTTAAAGTTGACAAATCTTTTATGTCTTCTAGTATATGATGCCAAAGTCACTTATGTAAAAGTGGGACTCTCTCCTTTTAAGTTCTTCTTCTCAGAACCCTTTCTCCTTTATTGCCCTACACGGCACTACCTCAGAAGAGGAAAGCTCATTAAAATGTACCGAGCATCTGCCATGGCCGAAGTACCTTACATGTAACCTCACTTGTATCCTATGCTTACCCTGTGATAGCACTGTATTATTTACATCTTACAAATTTCCTTCTTATGAACGCGGAGATCAATGTTCAGAGACACTGACTGACTTACGTAAAGTCATATAAACTAGTAAGTGATGGTATCAGGACTTAAACCCAGTTTATTTCCCTCCCCTCCCCCTACACTAAATAGATGTATAGACCATCTTTGCCTAGAATCAGACATGGGGAAGCAGTAGCAGATAGGAAAGGAGAGACAGAAGATCTAATCATTCATGAATGATAAAACACATTTTTAGTGTGGTGCTGATGGATAAGTACTGGACTGCTAATCTCAAAGTTGGTGGTTCAAACCCCCCTGCTGCTGCCCAGAAACCCTCTACAGGGTCACTGTGAGTCAGAATGACTCCATGGCACCTAACAACAACGACAGTACTTAGTCACCCAAAGCTCCAATCCCAAGAAACTGTCTATGGGTAAACAAAGCACTGCGACTTTAATGCGTCTTAGGCAAGTATCAAGCCAGAGTATACTTATTCATCTAGAGCCAGAGGTGAAGATTTGGAAGAAAGATGGGAGGAATTCAACTTAGGCAACAGAACCATTCATGAATTCCTAGAGCAGACTTAGCTATCGTGTGGAATACTGACAAGAGTCCATGCAGAGGATTAGAGCCAAAAGACGTACAAGAGCTTACTT